GCACACTCACCCCGGCAGCCACTGGGAGTCACCTCTGCAAAAGGATTATCACAACTGTTGCATTGTCGGCCGATCACACCTGGCCGACAGTGACATTGACCCATTTCCTGATCACAGGACCGTGAGGAAGAGCCAACGGGATAGCAGTCACAAGGCAGGCAGGTGTCGCTCCCTTTCGGGTGGTAATGGAATTCCTATTGGAAGAAGGGAGAGGGGCGGGGAAGGTGGTTAGAGAGCTGGGTCACAGGAGGAGGAGCAGTAGGGGAGAAGGATTTGACAAGACTGCAGGCAGGGGGAAAGGGCCAAAACAAGGAGCCTAGTGAAACAGCAGGAGAAATGGGGAGGCCTGGTGGGATAAAAAGAGGGCCATTGTTAGGAAACTACTGATAGCCAATCCAACCAGTAAGATTAGAAAGATATAAAAAGCAGCACGGACAGATTCTTCTTACATTACAACAAAAAAGTCAGTCCCTTTGGAGCTCCTACGATACTTTTCAGATATCATCTGCTATGGCTCTTCCCCATCCATCACTATCTTGAGGCATCAGAATGAAAAGCCATTTCCCCAAAGGTTCATTCCCACAGGACACTCAACCATTTAGACCTCTTTGCTGAGTCCTGCAACACTGAGCTGAGGACAAGGAGTAGTGTGCTGACATGGCAGGAAGACAGGCTGGGAGAAGAAGGAAAAAAGGAAGATTGTACAAGAACCCAGTGAGCAGAGCCCATATGGGTTCCGAAAGCAGAGCAGGAAAGAAACAGAAAGTAGACATTAGGGAAAGATGTAGACACCCACCCACCCCACCTCCCAAAAGCCAGGAATGAATGGAAGGTGAACAAAGAGCCAAGAATGGAGATGAAAGGCAATACTGCAGGTGACGGGCAAGTGATGTTGCATCAGAATCTATTGATGGCAGAGAGTTCCAGAACAGGCATATCTCTCCCCTCACCTTACAATGACATTGCCCGTTGGTTTTATTACAGTCCGGGTCAAATCCCTTGGCTGCATCGCAGTTGCAGGGCCCACATGTTGGATTCCCCCACCAGCCCTTGGGACACTGTTGATCCATCCTGCAGGGAAAAAAGTCAGGTGGATGGATGTTCGCATCCAGGCCACTAGTTCATTGTTGCTCTTGCAGCAAGTGGAAATATACCGTACTATGATAAGTTTGCGATGGGATGTTGGATAAATTAAAAATAATAATAATAATAATAATTGTTACGGGCATTGTACTTTGGCAAACTTCTGGAATGCAAGGGTCTATGGAAAAAATCATCCCTTTTGGTGTTTGTCTGGGAGGAGGGAAGCAATCACAAAAAATTCTGTGTTTAGGCCAGGAGTTCTCAAACAATGTAGTTCTATGATCATGTAACATTTGTGTGACACCTCCAACCACATGAATAAAACTAGTGATGGGAGGGGGCTAGGATTGGACAAGAAAGGAATGCAGGTAGTCCTCATTTAGCAACTACAGTTGGCACAAACAACTTGGTTGTTAAACAAAGGAGTTGCCTAGTGAAAAGGTGTTTATGGTCTCACTTCAGCTTTCATTTGCTTTTTACAGATCTGTGAAGGTTATAAATGTGAAGACTGGTCACATAGTTTAATTTTTCATCACCGTTGTAAAACTGTGAAAGGTTGCTAAACAAATACCAGCTAAACAAGGATTACCTGTATACTTTTCTAATAACTGAATCTGATATATCAGATAAACCAAGGATAGAGCTTTATAGATTTATAAAATATTTTTTTCATGAAAAATTAACAAAGCCATTAAATTTCAAACCATATTTGAAGAGTAAGCTGGCTTAGTTTTTCATAATTCCTAAAATTTGGATTTTTGAAATGCTCCTGTGCCATATCCCTGTTTATTTGGGGCATGTATTGTTTTTTATAGAAACAATTGTAAAAAAAAAGGTCATGATTTTACTTTGAGCTTCTTCGGGAAAATTGGGAGCAACTTCTGAAAATGATGCAGCACTGCGTGCGCAAGGACAAAAATATCTGCAACGTCTACTCACATTTGATCCTGACCTCTGTGGGTTGCAACCTACAGTTTCAGAACCCCTGCCTTAGGCATTTTTAAGAGTTTATGTTAACACAACAAAAATATCTGCCCAATCCAAAATTAATTAGTTGCATCTCTAGCTTTGTGATGTCATAATGAAATTAATTCCTACTAGTTGCACGTTTCTCAGTACTGATAGGATCACTGTGGAACCCACAATCAACAGATGTAACTATTCTTGATTTTTTTTATTTATTCATTTTGTTTTTGAATGGTGCAGAAGCAACAGAACACTGGACAAATAAATAGCACTAAGCAAGCATTCTTAGGGAAAATGCTTCAGTCTTGCTCAAAGCATTGTTTTTGTTCCCAACATAAAACGCAGACATTTGACAAAGCAGCAAATAACAGCAACCATGTACTCCTTGCTCTGTCTCTGGGTCAACAGAAATTGGGGATATGGTCTATTCAGTGACTGGAAATGGCATGGAGGGCAACTCCAAGGGATGGCTCCCCGGACACAGAATTTCTTTTGCAGAGTATATTCAGCATGAATAAAGACATGTGTCATTGGTTATTATTATTTTTCATTCGTATCCCCAACTTTCTCCCCATCCTTCCATTAGATGAAACTATCACCCAAGCAAGACAAGTATTCTCAAAACAATCACTTAATTTTGCTTGTGACAATTGGGCAAGAAGGCAATGAAGGATGATAAAATGCAGAGACCGGTTTGCCTGTTGCCTTCCTTATAGCCTATCATCGTGTCTTTCATTACCAATTATGCACATTGAAAATACTGGCTATTATCAAACGCAGGAAACTTTTTTTTAAAAAACCAAAGGTTTATAGAACTTTAAGGTCTTCTTTTCACATGACAACGATTACCATCTTCCTTTATTTAGCTATATATTTGCTTGATTTATATAGCTGCCCATCTCACTTTTATGCAATTTCTACCTCATGTCGCTATATCCAATCTTTACCGCTGGACCTGTTAAGCTGAACACAGACCCCTGACTATGAATAGCTTGAGACTCTTCTGTTTTTGCTATTTTCGGGACACAACTACAACAGAGCTTTCAATGTGCAAATTTATCGTGTCGAGTGTTATCTAAGTCAGGTGTTAGATGAGAAGCAAAAGGATACCCAGAGAGAAAATTTTATGATCAGAGGCTAATTTCCCCATCATTCTTCCCCTAATTGCTAGTGACACAGAGTCCCCAGAGTGGAAAATTCTATCTCGATGTGAGAATAGCATTTCTTAGATCCACAAGAGGCTAAAATCCACAAACTGTCCTTGATCTCACCTGTGCTCACAGTACTGTCCAAAGTGATTTTCTCCGCACTCACAGATATAACCATGGGGAGCACCTGGCTTTCGCTTACACATTGCCTTGTTCTTGCAGGGGTTCAGCTGACAGGCATCCAGGCAACTCCCACCATAATATCCTAGAATAAAATACAGGGAGGGTCGCATCTCAACATTAATGCCTCACATCCACATCATAAAAGGTTTTTAAAGAGGGGCAACATGAACAAAGCCTGGTGGTGTTTTTTTTTATAATTAAAATGGGTCATAACAGGGCATTGTGAAACCTACATCCATTCTCTTTCCCCTTTCTTTTTTCCAGCCTCAAATTACACTTACAAAAAAAGAAAAAGAAAAAAGCCAAAGGCACAATAGGTATATCATCCAAACCTGTTTAATTTGCGTGTTTTGGCTTATTTGATCACTGAACTGGATATTCGTTCTAATTTCAGAATGGCTAGGTGTCATGTAAAAATCTTGGGGAAATGAAATCATTGGGAGATGGCCAAATGGAGGGGCATGATTACACATTCAAAACGAAGAGGATATTTCCCTCATGCTGCCTACCCTACCCCACCCCTCATCCTTGATTCTCTTCAATTCCTGGTGGATTTTTCTCGAAAGCCAACGTTCTGAAACCATTGTATGCTTCCTGGATGTGGGGGCAATCTGGCTGTGGCATCTGTCAACCCATTGATTGCCAGTGTTGATTCGACTGATCTGGCTGGTTAGGTGAGAGTCCCCTCCCTCTCTCACTGCTCCATGTGCATCCCCCCCAAAGCAGTGCGCTTGGTGGAAGAGGATGAGCATCCCAAATAGAAGGAGTGAACCAATCTTTGGTCAAGGGTCTGTTCACATTTAGAAGAAAATACCATTGCGTAATAATCTCTTTATGTCTACCCTTTTGGACAGAGATCAGAGGTGGGTATTCAGCAGGTTCTGACCAGTTCTGGAGAACTGGTAGTGGAAATTTTGAGTAGTTTGGAGAACCGGCAAATACCACCTCTGGCTGGAGATTTTACAGTATCCTTCCTCTGCCACACCCACCAAGCCACACTCACAGAACCGGTAGTAAAAAAATTTAAATCCCACCACTGATAGAGATGGGTGGCTTTTATTGGGGCACAGGGAGAATCTTCAGGAACAGCAACAAAAAGAAAGACAATGTGGTGGGTACAAAAGTACATGGTACAGAATATACAGAAAAGGACCAACCGCATGAAACAAAACGGAACAAGGAAAATGGGGAAATAAAGACCAAAACAAGATTTGTAGTCTGAGCTGTTCATCCATCTCCTACCTGGCTTGCATACACAGGAGAAGCTTTGCCACTGATCCTGACATATACTGTTGGCAGGACAAGGGTTGGATTCACAAGGGTTGGGCACAGTACATCCTGCCTCTACATTCACAGTGCTGCCGGGCTTGGGCAGTGCATTTCCCAGGGCTGTGTCACCTAGATGAATTCCCTGAAACCCAAAGGGTGGAAAAAAAAGGAAAATAAAGCTCAGGTTTGCATCAAAAGGTTTGCATTCTAATGGAAAGAATTTCAGAACATTGGATTCTTTAGGCTAGCATAGCCTACCAAGAATACTTTCTACTGACTTTTAGCTCTCCGTTGTAATGGATGATTTTTGTCAACCTTTTCAAGTGAGGGCATCAGTGTGCAAAAACTACTGAGTAACTTTTGCAAAATGATCTTGTGGTTTTCTGATTATTCAGAGATCTTAATTATCATGGTCTACTGAGATTTATTGCCATTTTAAAAGAAAGGAAGGAAAGAAAAAGAAAAAGAAAAGAAAAGAAAAGAAAAGAAAAGAAAAAGGAAAGAAATAGAAAAAAGAATCGTTGCCTTTGGCTTCTGAATGGGTTTTAATTTCCTCTAGGAATAAAGAGATAGAAAAACGGAGAAACCTTGATATTTGGAAGTTTGCTGGAACTCACCTGGATGCAGCCTTTGAAACCATGATGCACTTTACCAGACTCTAGGATTCCCCCAACATGCAGATGTTTCACCTTCAGGCCTTGAAGCTCATTGCCAATGACCACAGTATCCTTTAGAAAAGAAATACAAGGAATGGGAATGGTACGTGCTGCTCACCACTGTTTACTTGGATCTATCAGTTAACCTTTTCGTTCCCTACCATCCATACTCTGTGAAACTATGGAAACAAAATTTCCTCAAATGCCACCAAGAAAAATGCAGACAAAAACAGGGGCTTCAGCTTTGATCCCAACTAGATAGACAGAAGGACAGTTAATTGTCAAACTGAGGGTCCTGAATTTGTCAAAAACACTGTTGGAGGCGGGGAAATACAGAACTACAGGGAAGAATGCAAGCCCTAATCTAAGTAGTTTTTCTCCCAGTGTGGATATTTTTCCCTTCAGCCTCAAAGCTTACCTGGTAGAATCCAAAATCCAGACTGAGGGTGATAATGTAACGTGCCTCATGGCCACTTCGAGCATCTTGTAGATGGAATTGGAGGTCATGCCACACTCCATCATTCAACGGCATTTGATCCAGAAGAATCTTGGCAGTGCGTCCAGGTCCCCTATTCACCATAAAGGAGAGCAGGCCCGACTCCAGCTAAAGATATGGCATAGTTAGCACAGAGCAAATTCTGTTTTATGAGTAAGGCTATGACAGTTCAGGCACTTCACATAATTTTTCACAAATGCTCTACAAACAGATGGTGAGTTATTCCAGTTAAGAATAAGTCTTTCTACTCTGACGCGAAATAGAACAGTGCCATTAAATATAGTCGGACATTACAAATCTGTGGGGTCCCGGTATTCTCTTATAAAAGAGAACTATTGCTGGTATACTTGTTCCATATCTGATACATCAAAAGAGCTCAGTTTAAAAACAAACAGATATGACTGCCTCACAGAACATTGGATGCAAGGTTTTATAGCAGCACAGATCCAGAGCAGCTACAATGTAGGTACCTGACATAGTATGGTTGTGTACTGGCCAGCATTGGCCTGAAGTAACACTCCATTTGCCTGGCGTGTCCGGAATGCTAGGCCCATATACCAAGGTGTAGAAATCTTAACTTCATTCCTGAAGTCCCAGAAAAGGATGCTGTTGCCATGGAAATGGTGAGGATGATGCATAGCTAGAGAAAAAGACGATAGAGGATGCTGGAATTCAATGAAGCAGAGAAAAGCTCAGGGTGGGAGAAGCTTGAAGCTACTTTTACATCAGAGACATTTATATCATAATAATCTGCATGGGGTTGGAAATATAATTTTGCTTAAAATGCCCAGACTTCCATAGCAGAAACTGAAGAGTATTAAATACAAATGCCCAAGGTTTTGTTCAATTTGTATTTAAAAACAACCAACAGATTGGCACATTTCCAATTAACATGCAAACAGATTGGAACGCTGTTAACCCCTCAGATTTCACACCTCTGCATTTTGCAATGTAGCTCTTAGCTCAAAACACATGCCAAATTGCATATCAAAATGCATATTTTAAGATGAAATATATTCAGAAATCTTGAGACAAAATACCTTCAGACTTGGGAGAAAATATTTTTCTTAAAAATGGTTGTGTTTAAATAGTATTTTTTCAAATGGCAAATTACTGTAAGAAATTATATAAATTTCTTACAGTAATTTGCCATTTGAAAAAATACTATTTTAAACACAACCATTAAGAAAACACACACACGCACTCACACACACACATATATATACTTAGAATTATAGATGTGATAGGCAAGATATGAATGCTTAAATAAATAAAAAGAATAGGTGTATGAAAGAGATAAGAAATAAACTGATCTGTCCACTCCTTGTAGAGAGGCAGCGTCAAAGGGAATATATTTGAAAATCTACAAAAAAGCTTTTAGAACTTCGAACTACACAATGGCTGATTTTTTTTTATTCTAGATTTTGTACATGCTTATGAATACTTAAGTAAACCACCATGTGCCTATTTGGTCTATAGGAAAGAGCACATAAATATGTTGAATTATGCTTTCTTCCAGCTTCAAAATGAAATCCTTTATGAGTGTCTAATGTTATAGCAGGCTGCCAATGCCCAATTGTAAGCCTTCATTGTTGGACTGAAGTGATGGGAAGGTAGAACTTTTTTCTATCCAAACTTTTCACTAGGAGTTCAAAGAATGAGTACAGAGAGAGTAGGAATTCCAACTTTCACAAAATTAACTGGAAATTCAGTAGATAAGGTTTTCTATGTAGATAGACTTTATTGATGGGACAAACATGTAGCAATTTATAGAAGACTAAATGTGATCATGAAATATCCCTTGGAACGTCAGAAAATATTCAACAAAGCCATTTCTATTTGTTTCTTTTTGGCCAATTTCAAGAACACTATTAGCTATCTTTCTCTGTAAACTAAGTTGTTGGTCACGCAGCCACTTCCTTCCTTTCTTGGGGCCCTATTTTCTAGTTTGTATTCCCATTACAATGTCAAACCATCTTCTCCTATGCTCAATTGTCCATTCAGCTTGCTCTGTATTATAGCAATAGCACTTAGACTTATATACCGCTTCACAGTGCTTTCCAGCCCTCTCTATTATACTCACCATGTCTGCAGTCCTTGCCTCCAAAGCCTATGGGACACTCACATATAAAGGAAGACCAGCCCACAATACAGGTGCCACTGTTCTTGCATGGATTTGAATCACAGAAGGAGTGTTTGGCATGACAACCTGCAGACATGACAGAGGAACAGCACAAGTGGATAGGCAGAACCAAACAGTAAACATGAAATAATGTCTCTTTTAGCCTTCATTCCCAACTTTTCTAGACTATGAAAATATGCTTTGGAATCTTCAGCTTGATGATAGGCAGAAATAACCCCTGTTATCAGAACCCCCTGCTGTGAAATATTACCTTTCTTTCCAATTGGAAGGATCTAGAACAGGGGTGTCAAACTCACAGCTGGATGCGTCATTTGCTGGCCCCACCCCCCACAAAGGGGAAAAAAGTCCCAATACGTCATGTGACACTGTGAGTTTGACACCCCTGATCTAAACTTAGTTATACTTAGAGTAGACATACTGCAAACAAGCAGCAGACACATCTAAGATGGAAACCTAAGGATTGGGCTGGCCATACATTCCTGACTTGGCACATGAAGTATGTGATTCCCATGACATTCATAACAGAGATGGAGAAGGTACAACCCACACTAGATGTCTGGATAAGATACAGTGATTTTTTTTCCATTTGGTCAACTTTTCTTTTGCCAGAATTCTTAATGTAAGAAGTCAGCTAACACTGCTTTGGTCTAAGATGATGACTTGGGAAATCACAGTTGTTGTTTCTTTATTCCAATAAATTTTAATCCAGGTGTTCTGGAATGGAAAAAAAGAGAAGATGTGGAAGAGGAAAGATCATGTATTAAGGGTGATTAAACAGTTGATCTTACCTATGGAGGTCCCATTGTTTGCAATATAGGATGCCAGGTCAATGTGTTTACTATCAATGTATAAATCTCTCATACAGCCCACAAACTCTCTGTGCTCCACTGGAAAATTTTCAGGCAGATTGGGGACCCCTCCAAGCAGCAAAGGCCCTGTAAGGTCCAGAGATCTGGAGGGAAAAAAAGACCCGAGAGTAGAATTTGTAACAGTTGCTCTACACACACACACACACACACACACACACACACACACACACCAATGCTACAAAGACATCATAAATCTGTTTTTGTAATGTTGCATTTAAGTCCAAAATGGAAAAGTGTGGTCAATCAGCAGTTTTTGTTTTGTTTTGTTTGCTAATACTTATGGAAAGACAGAATCCACATAGCCAAAAACTGAGGTATATGAAGAGGCTACTTATTGAGTACACACACACAACCAGCCAGCTGCTTCTGGAGTGCTTATAAGCCAGAGAGAGAGATATATTCCTCTCCTACCACTGACAATTGGGTGGCCTAAAAATTGATAGATAAATTCCAACTTCCGTCTAGAGCATGCTAATTCTGACACAGTGATAATGTGGAATCCTCAGGATAGATAACCCTTGACAGACCTCTTCTTTTATCTGATTCCCCGTGTCAAATCATCCACATTAGTGGCTATCATAATGTCTTCCGGACAACAAATTCCGTAAGTTAATTAAACAGTGTGTGAAGAACTGAAGTTTTCTGTCAAAAAACGTCACTGGATATTCCCAAGCCTTGGCCTTTTGAGAGAGGAAGACCCACTAATATTTAGTCAATATTGGCAAATTGGTAATGTTGGGTGAAAGTATTAAGAGTATTTTGTTGTAAAAATATTTTTTTCTAAACAAGCTTAATGTTTGAGCCCAAGCAAGTCCATTGCACCACCAAGCAGGAACTTTCAAGATTATCTGCCTGACAGAATAGTATTCCACCCCCTACCCCCCCAGGTATGGAAAAGCAATTAAAGACAAGGTCACCAAAACTCAACTACAGTTGCTTTGCAAGCTTGCTTAATTAGGCAAGGGCTGAATAATTACTTGCAGAGAGCAGGCATCATATGAGTAATGATGAAAACATGGCTCATTCTGCGGAGGTTACAGTGTATTATAAACCATATTATGGAGCTTCCTCTTTCCCTTTTCCAGGGCTCAAACTGAGCATGAACTAGAGTGAAGTTGTGAAAAAAAGATGTATGACATCTCTTCCCAGGGTCTTCATGCCACCTGGCAGGAAGGTCAGCGTTCGGGGCTCAGGACCCCAGACAGCCCCCGGTTCTCAGGAAGCTGGTTGAAGTTTTAGAGATTCAGGTTAATGTCAACGTTTCAACTAACCAACTCCAAACCAATAAACTCCAAGACAAGCAATTCCTCAAAGTTCCATTTGATTTGAGTTGTCATATTGGCACATCTGGGAAAACCAGAATCTGAGAGTTCCGAGTTTTCCCTTCCCAAAAGAGAATCAAAGGTCCATCCGTCAGTCCACCACATGGCCCAATCAAATCTTCGTCCCAACTGGAGACATCCCTCCGGTCACTTCCCTCCAGGTGCAGAGCAACATGCCCTTGACTCTCTGAGAAAGAATGTTGTCTACTCTTCTACCTCACTATGAAATCCCCCCTCCCAAATTCCCAGGCACTGAATGTGGCAGCCTCAAAGCTCCAAAGAGAAAAATGGCTTCCAAGGGTGATAACGTAAAGGAAAAAAAAAGGACAGGGCAGGACAGGACAGGGAAATACACTTAGCACTTTTGTTTTACTTTAGCTGAAAAATATAAAAGACTCACTTTTTGGAACTGGACTGTACTCCCTCTGCTGCGCAGGAATAGTTCCCAATCTCATTGCCAAACTGTAGGGCCAGAGATGTATCACATTTATCCACTGTTAGAATGGCCACTTTGTCTGTGGAAGGTCCTTGCACTGAACCCAGGGAGTTTATTTTGGGCTGAAATGATAAAGCAAAGCTGAATAGGTCTTTCCTTAATACCACTGTTACATTTCATCTGGCTTAAGGTACACTCCACTAACACTGTTCTAATTCAGAATTCAGCTAGATTATACCTTTCTACTTTAAAAAAAATAACTCTACACTTAGAGAACTAGCATACAAGCACACACCGGTGTTTCTTGATACTCCATTGGATGAGATGTCGCCATATTTGTTTACTCATTCAATAGATTCTCAGTGTGGAATCAAGTTTCCCAAAAAAGTAGAAAGCTTTATACATGATGGTTGCCATTCTCATGGGAATGAAAAGCCTTTATTCTCTCTTTCTTGCTTTAATACACAAAAAAGGAAAAAAAAATACAAAAAGAAAAAGAAAACAAAAATAATCAAAACATTCAGGAACTCATTCAGCTTATTTTAAAATAAATTATAAATAAAATAAATCATAAAATCTTGATCACACAAAAATTATTAATTAGTATTTGCATTTCATTGGTAAAGAATTCATCCACCCCCCCACACCCCCACACACACACCCCCCACACACCATGTATCTGTGAATTTGGGTTGTACTATTGTTCCAACATAGCCCTTACTTGAAAATCTATAATTCTTTCAGATAGCGATATAAATGTAAGTATATAACTGAAAATGCATTTATATCTTTAAACTCTGTTGATCTTTGGAATGCCATACTAACAGACTTAAAAATATTGCACTTAAATAGGGCAATATGGGGACAAGCCCATGGTGAGATCATTTAATAGTTTGAGATCACTACAATGTACTTTCTGTCACTCCCAACCTTGGGGTCCAATTGCCCAGTGATAGCAGAATCTGGAACAGTGAAGGCGAACCTATGACACACATGTCAAAGGTGACACACCACAATGTTTTGGATGACACATCATTGTTCACCAACACCCAACTGTCATTGAAAGCATGTCCCATTCTCACATGGTTTTCACAGGCTACAGAAACCATCCAAGAATGGGGTGTACTCTCAGTTGGCTTCTGGATCCAGTGAAAATTACGTGAGAGACTGTACTCTCATGGGCTTCCAGACCCTCCAAAAATCACACAAGAGCAGGGTGTACTTTCATACGGGTTTCAGAGGCTACAGAGGCCAAAAAAAAGGAGCATTCTCCAAAGCTGCTAGAAGAAAGAAGGCCTTGTATGATCTGGAGCAGCCTCAGGTAGGCTGCAAGGGCCTTCAGCAGAAAGAGAACATTGCTTGAAAGTAAGCGGCATATGGCAGATCCTGAGGAATGTTGGCCTGCAAGAGGAATTGTGCCATTCCCCAAGGTTGACATGCCTTGAGGAATGATGCAAGGCAGACTTTCGGGGTGTCAGCTAGGACTGAAGTTGAGGTGCTAAGGCTGCTGACCCTTTACTTCATGCCCTGCCTTGGAGTTGCTGCCAAGTTCCAATATTCGAAATAGCCCAAAGGAAAGAAAGACAATTCTCTCTTCTTTGTTCGGGGATGTGTGTATATATGTTTGTGTGTGTGCATGTATGTGAGCTAGCGGAACCAAGCTAGCAGAATCAAGTTGGGCATTTTCCAATTTTTAGATATACCAAGCACAAAAGGTTCACCTGGAATAGATGCAAAAAGTGCCAGTTGGGAAGAAGATGACGGAGTGATGTGGTTTTCTTCGTAGCATTGTGCCATTTGTAATTTGTATATTTACCAACTATTGACTATATTTACTTATCTTGTTTACATCTCACTGCCTCCTGTGGAAATCTTAATGCCAAAAGCATTTTTCTATGCTAGCATTGACTCAAAACCCATTTGACTTATTTTTATCAATGTTTTTACACCGAATACCTCCGGCTATGCTTAAGAAGGCAGCTCTTATTGACCTAACTTAGGTTCACACATCTGCTAAGTCATAACCATGTTTACATCATTTTGCTTTTGTGTGTTGTGTGGACCCAGCCACGTTCATTTGTACCCAAATGAAAATGTACTCAAGTGGATGGTCTTCTTCTTATGTCTGACAAAGCATAGTTTAGTACAATGTTGAAAGCTAGTTACTTTCTATGTGGCAAAAGAATTTGGGAGATGTCCTGGGGAAAAAAGAAGACTGAACACATGGACCACAACTTGTGCTCCAAATGCAACCAGAACACCACCACGAGAAAACCACCACAACACAAAAATGTTTGTGCCTACCTTGTTGTAATAATGAAGTTGCACCGTGTGCCACTGACCGTCACTAACCCCTCCTGGTACAGATGGAGAAACAACAGTGCTTGATTCCCCTGCAAGGCAGAGGGATATTAGACCCACAGTAAGTAGATTGGGATGACATTTGTGTCTATGGAGATTCTCAGTCATCCAGGTCATGGTTGTCCCAAAGGTGCTTTTTCAGCTGGACTTTCTGGGTTTTCTTTGAAGATGTTTCACTTCTGATACAAGAAGCTTCTTCAGCAAAATCCGAAAGTCCAGTAGCCTCTTGAAAAAGCACCTTTGCAACATGACATTTGTGTGTTCTTCATTCTCCACTCATGCCAAGATCAGAATTGCAGCCCACCAAGCTGTTAAAAAAGTAACACTCTTTCCTATGTAGGGCAATCCTAACCATGAAGATGATCCCAAGGAATGTTTTAAAGTGGGATTTAAAAATAAAATAAAATAAAGAAGGCCCTAAACCCATGAAAGGAGTTCTAGTATAAACTCCATTCATTTGGCTTTTTGATCAATCCAGCCATTAATGTTTGGCAGGAACATCATCCGTCAAAGTTGGGTTATATAATTATTCATATGTCATCACCAATGCTAGTGTAAGTCAACCTTATAGGAATGCTCTGTACACACACTCAAATGCACAAGAAAAAAAAAGACGTTGCTTGGATACATAATACTCCTTTAATGTTTTCTGCATTATAAAGAAAACCTAGAATGCTGTGAAAGAAAGCATATTGATTTTACACTTAGTATCAATATTTATGAGCAATACTCCATCTGGATTCATTAGGGAAAGTAGCAAAAATGCCTTCCTTATCAATATTGGCTGTATTAACTCTGTCCACCAAATTGTCCCCTTTGTAGTGCAAAACAGAAGAACAGCTCCTGGTGTCCCACTTTTCAGCTCTATTCAACTCCTTTTGTATACATAAATGGGTTATGCATGGAATAACCAACAACTACTCTCTTTCAGATTGTGTGCTAGTTACCTACAATACTGTTTCCAAAGCTTTTGCACCCTTTGAATGAGATTTTAGAGATATAGAGATAATGTAAATTTTTACCTGCTGTTCCTTCCTGGCCCCTCTATTTTGCATTTAACTGTTTTAGATATTTGGTAAATAAACATCAAAGTATATTTTTTTCGCTAGCTGAACTTTCATAAGGAAAACTGTAGATCTCCACTTCTTAACTATCCTTTTTCTTCTTTGAAAAGGTGAAAACACAACAAATCTGATTTTTATTTTCTGCGCTAAGCAAGGGAGAATGCTGCAGTAACAAGACTGCAGCCTGCCTTACTGATGTTTTTAACTCCCTGGAAATGAAAGCCATTTTCTGTAATACAGTAACTATGTTCAGGTGGTTTCTGTTTTGGACCTCATCTTTAAAGTTGAATAACCTGTCCTATTTTTCTGCATAATCAGACAGAATCTTGTGAATAAAGGATGTGGTTTGGAGTATTATTATGTCGCATGCCAGTAAAGGTTTCAAACTGCAGTTTAAAACAGAACATGGCTTCCAGCATTCATTCTGACAGCACTTGAATCTTTGTAACCTGTAGACTTGATATGCTATGTGGACATATGAGCAGGTGAATTCAGAGATGCATCTATAGATACAGTATACTATCTTGCCATCTTCCATATTCCTGCCTTATCATGTCATTCAGACATATATCTTTATGTTGATATAAATATAGTTTAAAAATTTTCTGGGTTATCATCCCAGAATCAATCACATGACCCGACTGTACAAATTGCAAAGTACAAACTGGCATTTTTGTACAGATCATCCATGCAAATTTAATGGGTGCAAACACAGAATCCGGTATATTAGTCTAAAGATTAATTCTCTGCAACCCTTCCAATTGATTAAAGCGAACATTCTTACAAAGATTAGCAACACCTGCCAACTACAAATTTGCATATAGAGAAGTTTTCTGCAAGTTGAATTATGGACCACATTAGAAGTTGCAGACTGAAGTGCTTATTTTGAAACAAAATACCTGAAGCTTCAAAATTAGAATACCGACTGCCCATTGTCCACAGCAAATGACTATTTCAAAAAAAACACACCAGGAATGTTGAAAGAGTGCCTAGTGCAAAATACAGTATTTTGTTTTTTTCGTGTTTGCCCAGATACTGGTATCTAAATTTTCCTGTGGTTGGAAATGTGACTACCACTTTGTAATAAAGGACTATTCTATTTGGCAAGGGACTTTATAGGGTCCCAAATGTCCTTATTTGCTGGATTAGAAGACTTTTCTGATAATTAATCAGTAGCGATGGTACTAATTTTGAAAAAAGTGCAGCTTCTATAAGATTCTCAACAGAAAAAGTCTATTTTATAGTAAGTACCATTCAATATTACAATGGCAACTTCTTGAGGACATCAGTGAGAAAAGCATGGACCCATCTACCACACCCACCTGTAGAGTACTTCAACTGGACCTGCCCATCAACAATCTCTATAGCCAGAAAGTCGTGTTTCTCATTCAGACGTCCATTGTAAATTAAGAGACCACCACGCTCTACAGTGGCAAATCTAGTGATGAAATATAAAAGAGTTAGAATTTTCACACATACTTGAACAAACTAGTTAAATTTTTCTGGAATTTTCATACAATTTTTCCCGGTACCATACTCAAGTCAGTTAATGTAATTGCCAGTTGGTATTATGACTGCAGAAAGAATTATATTACTATCAAACCATCAATAAAGAGTAGATCTGTCATCTCCCCTCCCCCCAGAACTGACAAAATAGAGCCCAACTAATCATTGTACCATATTTTAAGGAAACCTGCCCTTGTTGAATTTCTGCTCTGTTTACATTTGAGCAAGTGAGAGTTGCCAACTATTGTAATAATTCTCCTAGTAATTTTTTTTTTTTAAATCTCACTCTTGTGAAGATAGTTTGATAGAACTAATATCTTGGGAATTCCCCTCCGCTCCCCAATATAAAGAGAAAATCTAACTGGAAAGCCAGGGCAAATATATAACGGAGTTCAGCAAGATAAAATTCAACATCATCAATGGCAGATAAAGGCAGTTCTTACAAAGCTGCTTCTTAGCAGAACTTACGAAAGAGAAAGGCTCAGGTGGAACCTCTGGCGCAAACCTCGAAACATGACAAAAGATTTGGGAGGAAAAGAGCGTACAGATACTTCACAAAATGGTTTTTCAAAGCCTCCGGGTGGACATTGACATTGGAAGCCTCCATCGGCAGAGTTGGTGCAAGTGCCTCCATTCCTACATATTCCAGGAACACAACGTCCTGCCCGACTATCCACTTCACAGTTGTCACCTATTGGAAAAGAAGAGAAGAAGAAATGAAATGATCAAAGGGCCTCTGAGACAGAATAAGGCAAAAGCTATAGTAAAAGAAAGAAGTGGGATTCCTGCCATATAAGAACATATGAACATCACACAGATACTACGTTATATTCTGCTGCATTACGTTATGTTAATATTAAAACCATGCTATGCCATATTTGTATTTCTGGTGGGATCTCAAGGCTCTCTCCACTGTCATAAATGGCTCATCATTTGGTTAAATGGCTACATCTCATCTCTGTAAAACTACTGGACCTACTAAGATGGTTGTCTGAAAAGGCTATTAGATCTATAAGGATTCCAGATGGCCTAACAAGGTTTGTGATTAATCCTACCAAGGTTTCTATCAATACCCCAGTTGTTACATGAAATAGGATATTTGCTGAGGTAAATTGATACTATCACTCCCAGGGTGCTCTCCAGTCTCCTTTAGAGGACTTGAGGAAATTGAAGTGATAAGACAAGAGTGTAAGTGGACAACAATGTGCTTCAAATTTGATAAGGCAGTGTGAAGCCAATTTGAAATAATAAACTTTGATGAGATCTGCAGAAACACCCCCCGCCCCGCCCCCCCCCCACGATTTCTCTGTGCTTATTGCCCATTTGCAGCCTTATTGCCCCTATTTTCAGCTTGAATCGTTTCAAGTTGGGACAGAGTTGATTCATATTACTAACCATTTCCTTCCAGAATTTGATCCTCAAAACTCTAATGAATTAGTTGCAATTTATTTTTGTGTAAGTGTGTTTGTTCGCATGAAGTCTGTTCTGGTCAGACCAGCCTGGTTGCTGCTAGTGAAGAAAAATGAATTATGGGACTGTCTGGTAACTTTTTTTTTTTACTTAGTTACACTGGATCAATCTGAGTTTTTGACACCCAAGTCCATGGCCAAGTTGTTTGGAGGGTATGCTCTAACTAACATCATTGCACAATGTAGCTTGTAACTTCTAGACATAAATTGTTAGAAAATCCCTTTGTGAACATCACAAAGACTACTCTGAGCAAAAGAAGGATGTCTTTTTATCTAAAGATCTAAAAATCAGATTAGACTTCCAAAAAAGCCTTTGCCGCAACAACTTGCAACACCAAATTGACTTTGTCTTGTAATGAAAGCTAAATAAGGTCAGCCACAGTTAGGATTGGATAGAAAACCACTGGGTGATACATGCATGTACCCATGGGTTTACCAGCAGGGATGCTTGACTCAAGGAAGTTTGTACTTTGAAAAAGCCTGCAGTGGATCTTTTTAAAAAAAAGCAATTAGAGGTCAATATTCAAACATCCACAATTGGGTAAAATGGTTGAAAAAGTGATGGTAATCATGGAGGAAATGTTGCAATTCAAGTGGGATTTCACCTGATTGAAGGGCCAAATTTCAGAGTTGGCTGCTCTCATAATTGATGTCATGGATACTTTTGTTTGAGGATTGGATACCAGAGCTTGACACCAGATATGACAATCAAATATTTCTCCCTGCTCTGCATTTTAAAGTAGATATACTGTTTAAAAAAAAGTAATATATACAGTGGTAATATATTTAGTGTAGAAAATTAGGTACTCATATATGTGAAGAAATTCTCCAGTTAAGAGCACCGGAAAATGGAACCATGATTTCTGTATAAGTTAATCTTGAGTTTTAAATCCCAGGCTTCTTCCTTCTGCTATTTTAACTCAAAAACTATATGCCTACTTGTAACTGTTCTAACATATTTGGGCGATCAGTCCCTTGTTTACAAAAACATTTTTTCTGGTGAATCAGCAAATCTTATTTCACCAGTTTCAGGCTTACACTAATGAAGAAACTGTTTCTCTTTCAGTCTTTCTTGAATTAGCGGTTTTTGATACTGTGGCATCCTTCTAGATCAGGGATGTCAAACTCAAGGGCTGTGGGCCAGATATGGCCCGCCAGGTGCTTTAATCTGGCCTGTGGGGCCGGTCTGGAAATATCAAAGGACTGGCCCATGGTGCCTCTGCCAGGAAAAATGGGCCACGTGGAGGCCTTCATGTAGCCCATTTTTGGCTGTCAGAATGCTGCTAGAGGTTGGGGAGGCCAAAAATGGACCACATGCACCCTGTTTTGGCTGGCAAAAGTGCTGCAGGACTTCTCATCTTCCCATTTCTCCCCCCACTCCCCCTCATGGCCCATGGAGGAGAACTACAATGCTGATCCGGCCCTCAAAGAAATCTAGTTTGACACCCTGTTCTAAATCCTCTCAGAGATCAGGAATTGAAGATAGTGCTTTGCTGTGGTACCGTTTACCTCTCTGTGGTAGAGTCCAAATGGTGTGATTTAAGACAGGTCTCCCTCAAAACAGAAGCTATTTTATAGGATCCCTTCAGATTACATTCTACCTCCAATGTTTTTCAACAGTCACATGAAATGGCCAGGAAAACTTGATGATGTGATATTGAAAGGTGTAGCATGATACTAAAATCTACCTATGATGATTTTGCCATCATCACTGCCATCGTCTATAAATGCAATTGTGAAAAAGTGATGGAGACAACTGTGATGGAGATAGTTTTAAGTTGTTGGGTAGCCCTAGAAGGTATCCTTTTCCAAGATAATATGACAATCATGCTTGTGACTGTATAAATAGTATGATTTGTTTCTGGCATTGGCAATTGACAGTGATACACCCATTAAAAGTTAAATTGTAACTGCAATCTACAGACTTACTCTAAAATATATCGCTTCTGGGCAACTGTACCATATGAAGTGGGGCTGTATGTGGTGGAGCTAGAACTCCCAGCATTCCTAATCATGGTGGCTAAAGGCAACTCCAATATATCTGTAGTTTCTTCCCCAAACCCCAAAAACTTTAACCTTAGATTGTCTACTATTGACCTCACCCCTTTCCTAAGAGGTCTGTAGGGGGCGTGCATAAGCGCACCAACGTGCCTACCATCCCTGTCCTATTGTTTCTCTTATTCTTCTTTTATTTTTCTTATATGTACCCATTTCATGTATTCACAACTATGTATACACTTATACTTATTATCTTGTAAACAATTGGCAAATCAAATAAATAAATAAATAAATAAATATCGGCTGTCGAATTGGGGAAGATAGCTCTTGAATCGTTTAGCCCTGCCTATATTGTCATTTGCCTGAACAGCCACGTGATGGCACTATTTACCATTCAGTATATGTGGAATTTGCAACCAAACTATCAGCATTCACAGGCATCATCCTTCTGACGAGCCAAACTCCTCACTAAACACTTCACCAGTATAAGGTGTGTCAGGTAACCTGGCCATATTTCCTTTCAATATGAATCAGAGTGATAGAAATGAGTTTTCTCTTTGCAAGTGATAAATTAATTACAATGTACCGACAATGACCTATTTTTGGCCAATGGACAAAGTCAAGAAGGTGGCTTCATTTTGGGAGTTAAAGTTTGGTCTGGACAGGAGAAGGAGGAAAAAGAGAAGGAGAAGAAAGAAGAGGAGAAGGAGGAGCGGGAGGAGCACAGGAGACTAAGGCACTTTTACTTTCACTGAGATCTCATTCTTTCAGACGATGTGCTGGAAAGCTTCACTCAGCATAGTACAGGTGAGTTCAGACAACTGCTTCAGTTGCTAAAACTGAGAGTTTAGTCTTCTTTAATTAAACTTACATTTAACTGAATCATACTCATAATTAGAAATAATCTGCACAAGATAGCAAAAACCTCAGAACCTGCATGGAAATTTAACACAGATCTAATTCCAATAGCGGGAGGAAAGAATGGCTGCCTGCCAGATTTTATCCTAGACAGATAATCAGATAGTAAATGCAAAAACTGTTCCTCTTTACCTTCCTTGAAGCAGAAAATTTTTGCCCCATTTTGCAACCTTTTCTTGCCACAGTTGTTACGTAAGTCATTGCAGTTGTTAAGTTAGCAACATGGTTGTTAAATGAATCTGGCTTCCCCATTGACGTTGCTTGTCAGTAGGTCGCAAAAGGTGAACACAGGACCCCAGGGCATAGCAACTGTCATAGATATAAGTCAGTTGCCAAGCATCTGAATTTTGATCATGTGACCACGGGGATGCTGCCATGGTTGTAAGTGTGAAAAACAGTCATAAGTCACTTTTTTCAGTGCCATTGTAACTTTGAACAGTCACTAAATGAACTGTTGTAAGTCAAAGGCTATCTGTAGCTATGGAAAGTCTAACCAGAATCTCTTGGTTGGTTAATGTGTTTACTAAACGTAAAAAATACTCTAAGCAAATCAGTTCCGGCTAATACTTGGGTGGCAGAGACAGGAACTGTAAGAAGGCAGTTGCAAGTCTCTTTCATATCCTTGAGAAGAAAACCACACGGACAAATCCACTGAATAGGGAAATTAAGCTTGACAATAGCAATAGCACTTAGACTTATAGACCGCTTCACAGTGCTTCACAGCCCTCTCTAAGCAGTTTTAAAGAGTCAGCCTATTGCCCCCAACAATCTGGGTCCTCATTTTACTCACCTCGGAAGGATGGAAGGCTGAGCCAACCTTCAGCTAGGTGGGATTTGAACTGCCAAATTGCAGGCAGCCAGCAGGCAGCAGAAGTAGCCTGCAGTACTGTACTCTAACCACTGCGCCACTGCGGCTCTTAAGGGGATATTAGAATATAGAAGATGACAAGATGACATGAGATTTTATGTGGTTGTAAAGAATCTTCCAGAGCATAGAGGCCCATGTGTTTCCAATTGACAGAATATTCTGAGAAAATTCTCCTTGAGATGTTCAGACAGGACAGGCAGAATCATCTTTGGCAAGGCGGTGCCTAGGAATAATTGCCTTGATATCCATTTCGAAAGAAAAGCAGCAAGGGTAATGGGACCAGTTAATGTCCTGTTGATTAGCTTTTCAGAAGCACTTAGCTGAGAAACTATGATGGACTAGATGGGCCTTTAATCAAATCATGGAGACTGCTTTTCTCATGCCCTTGTGTTAGATCATTTCTAAGCAACCCGCCCAACACTAGCACCATATAAAGTT